TCCTGTTACTCGAGAGGATTTTCCTCAAGACCTCCTTAAGAAGAGTTCACTCAAATGAGTGAGAAATTTGTGTTAATAAGGTGGCTTTACTGAAAAGAGAAATGAAATTTTCTATGTATTTTACACTTTTCAGTATGAAAAGCCGTAGTAACGGCTACATCCATCAATTTATTGAAGGTGGCTTTAATTTTTTTATCGACCTTTTTTGGGTATTTCACCTTCCACAATCTGAAAAATATGAAAATTATAATGGGGAACTATATACAGGTGTAGAAAGGGCAAACTTTTTACTTTACCTTGACAAGTTGCTGCGTAAAACAACAATTCACAAAGAAAAATGTTCTATTCATCAGTAACTTGTCGTATTCAATAATTGTGGCTATCAAAAAAATAGACAAGAAATAATACAATACTTATCTTAATGTTTCGGACACCACAATCTGCCTCCGTCTTCAGAAATGAACAAAATTCAAATATTTATATGCAGTTGTTCCTTTGCTGATTTTTATTTCTCAACTTCTTCTACAGATGTCAAAGGAGTTTTGAAATGTGTCAAAGAAGTTGAGAAGTTCATTTCTGAAGAGGGAGGCAGATTTTGGCTTCTGAAACGTTAAGATAAGTATTGTATTATACCTCAGCTATTTTTTTGATAGGCAAAATCATTGAATACGACAAGGTACTGATAAATAGAACATTTTTCTTGCATTATGTAATGCTAGTAACGCTATGAAAATAATAATGAAATAATGAATGTTAAAGAAACACTATTAGGTGCTAATTAAGTGCCAAACGGTGAGGATCAATTTCGCTAAACAACAGATCTAAGAATCAGGTCTCTCGAAAACGAGGACGAATGCTCTATCAGGTATAAACTAAGCGTGGTAATAAAGTGCTAATTAGGTGCTCACAAGAAATTAAGATGTAAACGACCGTGAATAAGCTGAACAAAATTCGGGATACCTGATTCGAGAAAAAAAAATAATAAACAATAAAATCTTGAAATGCTCGTAAACTCATACATAGACAATCAAAATAAAGTACTAATTGAGTGCTCACTAATTCATAGTAAAACTAGATTCTATAATGCCTATGGGGCTCATGGACCTGAAAACTACCGTGACTGATGCACTGAGTTTTTATAGTACTCTTCTCAATAAATAAGAGCAAGTGCTAATTAGGTGCTCATTAGATATTTATAGTAAACCTAGATTCCATAATTGCTATGGGGTTCATGGACCTGAAAACCACCATGACTGATGTACTGAGTTCCTATAGTACGTTTCTCAATAAATAAGGGCAAGAGAATAAAGTGCGAATTAGGTGCTCACTAGATATTCATATTAAACCTAGATTATATAATACCTATGGGGCTCATGGACCTGAAAACCACCGTGACTGATGCACTGAGTTTTTATAGTACTCTTCTCAATAAATAAAAGCAAGTGCTAATTAGGTGCTCATTAGATATTTATAGTAAACCCAGATTCCATAATTGCTATGAGGCTCATGGACCTGAAAACCACCATGACTGATGTACTGAGTTCCTATAGTACGTTTCTCAATAAATAAGGGCAAGAGAATAAAGTGCGAATTAGGTGCTCACTAGATATTCATATAGTAAACCTAGATTCTATAATACCTATGGGGCTCATGGACCTGAAAACCACCATGACTTATGCACTGAGTTGTTATAGTACGTTTCTCAATAAAAAATGACAAGAGAATAAAGTGCTACTTAGGTGCTCATTGGATATTTATAGTAAACCTAGATTCCATAATTGCTATGGGGTTCATGGGCCTGAAAACCATCATGACTGATGTACTGAGTTCCTATAGTACTTTTCGCAATGAATAAGGGCAAGAGAATAAAGTGCTTATTAGGTGCTCACTAGATACTTATAGTGTCTAGTGATTTCATAGTTGCTATGATCTAGATTCCATAGTTGCTATGGGGTTCAAGGACCTGAAAACCACCATGACTGATGAACTGAGTTCTTATAGTACGTTCCTCAATAAATAAGGGCAAGAGAATAAAGTGCTAATTAGGTGTTCACTAGGTATTCATAGTAAACCTAGATTCTATAATGACTATGGGGCACATGGACCTGAAAACCACCATGACTGACGGACTGAGTTCTTATAGTACGTTCCTCAATAAATAAGTGCATGAGAATAAAGTGTTAATTAGGTGCTCATTAGATATTTATAGTAAACCTAGATTCCATAATTGCTATGGAGCTTATGGATCTGAAAACCACTACGCCTGATGGACTGAGTTTTTACAGTACGTTCCTCAATAAATAAGGGCATGAGAATGAAGTGCTAATTAGCTACTCGCATGATGCCTATTGACTTTCGCGCTCAAAATTTCCGTGGTTGATGTTCTTTATTGGGTCATATTGGGTTCTGGGTTGGTAATCGATTCATTTCGTTAGTGCACGTCTGAAAAAGGTGAACATAATCTATTTCTACGAAAATGTCAAGAATTGAATAAAATAACGTTTTGATTCTCATTTTTATAAAAAACAATTGGAAAGAAAGTCATAACTTTCTTATTTTAAAAACATATTATTTTTTATTATCTTTAGTCTGTTTAAGATAATATCTCACACTTTTTATATTAAATCAAATGGTGGTTATCGGGTCCATAAGACCCATAGGAATTATGGAATCTAGATTTACTATAAATATCTAATGAGCACCTAATTAGCCCTTATTTATTGAGGAACTTACTGTAAAAATTCAGTCCATCAGTCATAGTGGTTTTCAGATCCATAAGCCCCATAGGCATTACCGAATCTAGGTTTACTATTACTTTATTTTCTTGCCCTTATTTATTGAGGAATGTACTGTAAGAACTCAGTACATCAGTCATTTTGGTTTTCAGGTTCATGAGCCCCATAATGCTAGCAACGCAACTTTGAGTTGCGGTGTAAGTTACAGAGCACCTAATTTTTGACTTCGGTACCTAAAAAGTACCTAATTTTGGCATTTTCCAAATGCGATTTCCGTACTATGCGTTGCTGGCATAACAGAGCTTGATTTTACGCAGTAACTTATCGGGGTAAATGAAAAGTTTGCTCTTTCTACACCTGTATAAAGTTCTCTATTATAATTTTCATATTTTTCGGATTGTGGTAGGTGAAAATAACTAAAAAAGGCCGATAAAAAACTGATTTTCCTCCACAGAAAATGACTTTCGTTCAGTATTTAAGAGTGACTCATATTCCTAATTATGACTGAATAAGACGATGTACTCAATGCCTCTAAATAACTGGAACAAATTGACTTCAGGCATTGACATGATTCCCATCGATGAATACTGTATCAATGTATTATGTAAACCCTTTCTCTTTATTATCAATCCCATTCTAAGTTCCTCCAAGATGATCATCAAATAAAAGATAGCCGATTAGTAAATCGGCTTAATGCAACACATATTATAATCACCAACCTGGCGTGTCTTCATCAATATTTGTGTTCGTCCCTTGATTCTCGAAGACAAGTAGATGTTTATTCAGCTCTGGTGTTCCACAGGGTTCTAACCTCGAGCCCTCATTGTTCATTATCTTTTTAAACGATCTGTGTGACATCATAATTGATCTGTATGATATCATAAATGTTCCTAGTTCATCATGATTTGAAGTTGTATAACAAAATTGAAAGTAATTTCGGTAGTCAAGATTTGAAATCTGGCTTTGGGATGGTGCATAATTGGTGCCAGCGAAATAAATTATATCTAAATATTGAAAAATGTAACGCTAATCTATTGATTAAATTAAATTTTGTCATGCCGAGACTGGAAAGTATAATGTCACGCACCATTTCATTTGGATACTTCCCGAACTAATGTAGGTTTGAGATCACCTACATTTATTATGTGCAGTAACTTCATTGAAATAAGCCAGTTGTGCGACATTCATTACAATTTCATACATAAAATAATTCCTGTAATTGGTGAATGTTTGTGACCTCTGGGAAGTATAAGAAAAGTGGATAAGGGTTCAAAGGAAAAGAAAATAATATATAAAGTCATCAATTATTGAAGTCTATTATTCAGAAATGTATTTGAAAATAAAATGCTTTTTTTTTTTAACAACACTGTAATGAAACAATTAGGGTTATTATTAAACGTTACCTCTTGTTCCAAAAAATACATTGAACATTCTTAAAACATAAAAAACTTTTTCATAGTGAGAAGAAACATTTTAAGAGCTCAATAATCGTTACTTCCATTAAAGTCATTTTTGAAAAATGTTCCCCATTCATTCATATAACATTTTTGAGAATATTATAATTTCCTTGCATTTCATTAACTATTCACAAACTGCCGTTCTAATGTATATAGTTATCACTGAACATCTTCAAACAAAATTCCAAAATAATGAAAATGTTTTTTTTGCATTGACACTGCATCATGTGGCACATAATAGAATTGGTAAATTTTCCACAATCAGACATGTCTGCATGAAAAAATTAATTTTGTTATTCAAAACTGAAAAAATATAGATATTCTAAAAAGGCACATGACAGACACGGACTCTGAATAAAATTGTGTATAACTAAAAATGAAGTCGAGATCGATCATTATCAATTATTACTTCTTGTTCTAAATTGCAGATTAAATTTTCTATTCTCATTGGAACACCTGTAATTGGCACTAATCAAGAATAACCGTTTATTTTTTGTTTTTCGCTAAAGCACATATATTATTATTAGTTTAATCTTAATTACATTCAAGTATTAAAATGTATTCAATTCAACCTAAACAAAGTTTTAATTAAAATTCATTTATGTATCAACTAAACTTTCCTAGAAGGTTTAATTTGTTTCCATTTCAACTTTTTCAAAGTAAAAGAACATAAAAACCTTCACAAAAGTTACCATCAATTGCAAAGTTTTAGGAGATACTGATTGAAACTCAACATCAGAATAACAATTTTTGCTTAACAGGTTGATCGAAATACAATTTACAATGTAACCATAACTGAAAATGCAAGTCTAGTTTTATTTTTTATTTATAATATACTATACAATAACGGAAACTACATGAACTGCTGTGTCACAGCAATATAATGATTTTTACCACATGAAGATGTATCGTGAACCATATTTGGCTTCAGGTCTAGGAGCATCTTTTGGAAGACCAGGAGTGGCATCTTCGTAAACAGTTGGCCCCTCAACCTCTGGTTTGGGCCTGCTGGTTTTATGAACATGAACTCTTGCATAATAATCGAACGGAGGTCTTTCCATGCCTAAATTGTCTTTAACACACTTATCAAATACTGCTTGTGTTTTACGACACCTGAAACGTTTATATCAGTTAAAATACCTTTTTTTCCTGAAAAAGCCTTGTGTAACTGTATTTTCATACTTGTAGAGAGAAGAAAAAGGAAGTATTTTTGGAAAAAAATAATTTTTGAAAAAACTTTTTCGATTTTTCTTTTTCTATTTAAGTATAATGAATAGAAAACCTTTTGAAAAAAAAATATTACACTCTATTTATCAATTTACATTAAAAAAAATCAATGAATTTTCAGTGATAGTATTTTTGAGTTTCCACCCATATTTGAGAAATGTCTCATTATTAATGAAAAAATGTTGAGCCTAGAAGGGGTTTTTCCAATAATTAATGTAATCCCTATTTCTGGGAAACGTACATATATGTTAGTCCATGTCCATGATAATGTCATAAGAAAGATTATTCAAACAGTCACTGTGAAAGAAAAGAGTTAAATTTGAGGTAACATATAGTTTATGCCAATTGTAAAATTATTCACTAGTAAACAATTTTGCCAATCATGAGAGATTATGAAGTACCACATTTACTATCTAGAAAATAACACACTTGAAAAATCTGAAATTAATAGTCCGTTTTGAACTCTTACGGGTTGCAGCAGAGAGCCGAATAGACCCATCTGCTTGTTTAAAACTTATGTTATAACTCTTGAAATATTAATATATATTGAGAACAAGCTATCTAGAAAGAATAGTTGGGGTTATCAAGTTTTTTTTTCATGCGATGTTAATGATTTTAACTGAGGAATAAGCAAATGTATAATATAAATATCTTGGCAGAGAGCCTCTCAAAAGAAAAGCAGTGTACTTGATTCAGAAGTATATAAATAAATGTTTAATCGATGAAAAAGTGGTCCAAAAGGTTGCAAAAATAATTTTTCATAAATACATAATTTTTGTGGCAATATTAACGACTTGCTTCATTAGTGGAATTTGGAACCTCTGCTATGAAAGGAATCTACTGGAAACACTTTTTCTTCATTAGAATAAAATTGCTGCCTCTAGACGTGTGTTTCGCTAATCAAGTTAGCATCATCAGGAGATGACTAAGACTACTCCTTATAAGCTATGTTAGTGTTTTTGAATGATAATGAGGGTCAATTAATTAATTCTTAGTATTTTGTTATTCACTACCTGACTGATTATTCATTTTCTTTTTTTACCTGTAATTATGTACTAGTAGGAACAATAAGCTATTAGGAATGGGACCTTTCCTAGATCTCATTCCACATTTTTCGATTTCTAAGCTTTCAAAGGTATCTCTAAGGCATGTTGACCAACACTCGAAACAGAGGAGTCCACGGTACATAAACAAATAGTAATTTTTTCTTATTTTTCTTTATATGTTATTTGTAAAGTACATACATTTCATGTGGAATTGGTCGCGGTGGTAGTGCGCCCGACTCACGATCGGAAGGCCATGGGTTCGATTCTCACCTAGACCAGATATTTTTCTCGAGAGAATTTATCTGGTTGAAGCTGGGATGATTCTGCAACCGTGTTAGGAATTACACGTTGAAAGGTAATACCTCGTTAAGTCTTAGCTCGCACAAGTTTCTCAACTTCTGAGAGTTGTCGTTCGTATGGGGGCGACAGCTGCCTTCATACCCAGGTATAACACTCGTCTCAACTTGTGTTTCAGCAACCAATTTGTGGTATCAAATGAACTTTACTCAGTAATATATCACTTACAGGGAAAACATTTTTTTGGTTAAAATTTTTCAGGCAAAAAATGCAAGATCATAGGCACATCATTTCCAATAATTGACATGGTGTAGTGATAACGCTGGTGAATACTCCCCGAGCTATTTATAGGTACGCGTCACCAGCCCCACGGCCGGTACCGACGCAACCGCTAAGTCCCGGCATTTCACAGCTGTAATGTATTTAAGGTACTTAATTGGATTAGGATTAAAGCCGTATTGCTTGTAATCGCTAGGTGAATAAGCAATTATTTTTCGAGGATAAAAAATTATTATTGTGGGTTAGCCCCAAGAGTAAACATATACCTAGCAGACCTTTTTGAAGTGTACAATACTGTAGTGAATTTTTTGATCTATCTCATATGGTTCAGCCAGCTTTTGCAATGTAAGTGCAAAAAAATGTGTTTACGATATCATATTGGAAACCTCTAAAATGATCAGTGTTTGTCTACTATATTATGCATGTTAACCATATAAACCTTCCTCTTGAATCACTCTATCTTGAAAAAACGTGAATTAAAATCCGTTGCATAGTTTCAAAGATCTAAGTAGGTATACATAGTAACAGACAGCGGAAAGGGACTTTGTCTTATACTATGCAGTGTTTTTACTGGACAGTTTACAAAACTGCAAAACGTGTTTCACTATACAATAGATTTCTCAAACTTTTCATACTCATAGTTGTTGCAGTTTTGAAATCCTACCAATGAAAATCTTAGAATGTGTTACTTGCACACATTATAGTTTTTCACAAAGTATCGACCAATTCCATCACATATATCAATTTCATTTTGTTGCACAAAAGGTACACACTGTATGAAACAACATTGACACTCACGGTATAAACGCTTGATCAGGACTAGATTTGTCAAGGCAATGAACATATTGCATAAATTCATCAGCACAGGTTTTCTTAATTTGCCTAAAGAAATTTAAAGCACAACTAGTAACTTCTTTTCCTTCATTGATACAAGCTCGGGGATCTTTTGTTTCCTCTCTACATAAAACGAACTCCTGAAAATTAACTATTTTGTATTTTGATATTTATTAGGTAATATATAACCCCACATTATTTTGAAACTCGCAAGCTTTTCCTAAATGAAAAGCACCTGCTTTCAAAGCTGGACCAGATAAAGGTACTTCTTGTACAGTGATTTCTTCTTCAGTTGGGAGAGTTATGTCTTCCGTAATTCCCATTTTTTATAAAGCAAAAGTCAACTTTCGAAATTTTCACGAAACCAAATAACCATATAACCAAATGACAAAATTGACAAATAGACGACAACCAGACGTAACACTACACCAGTGTTGCCAATGATGATTCAGTAAATTACTCACAGACTTCAAAATCATCCAAATTCAGTTAAATTTCTAATTCTCGAAGAAAATATTGTACAAAAACAAATTGCAACTCTTATGAGAACTGAATGTAACGTTATACTAAGACTAATGAATTGCGTCTCTTTTTATTGATATCCAGTTTTTTTATTTTCTTTGTGAATTCTTTTTTGTAGCATATAAAAACTACTTCCATGAGCATTATACAACTACTTCCATCGGAGTTCTGCGACTTCGTCCCTATCTATATGGAGGTAGGAAAATCCCTTGATTACGTTACAAAACTGGTTCTTGTTATCAATATAGTACTATATATGAGCATATTGAAAAAAAAATAGTCATCACTATCACCCCAGACTATTATAATAAAAATTGCTACAAATACTTGATCGGCAATTTAATTTCAAAGAGAATAACTCGGTCTTTATACAATAAATTTGGGAATCTTCCAAAGAAAGGAAGAAAGCAAATGATTCCAAAATGAACTCTTTACAGTTAATCTCTCCTAAAAATATATCCCTTTTCATTACCATAAACTACACATTCGCAAACTGTGTCAAATATCAACCCTCAGGTATCCATATTGTCGCCTCAAAGGGGACTCAAAAAGTATCATAATTCAAAACATAGTACGAAGTTTGACTTTAACACCGGAGGCACAAGGTCACCTATCTGTTTTATATGGATGCTCTTAAACTTTATGCCTCTGGAGAGAAGGATCTCCATGAGTCCTTGATGGTGGTGGAAGAGTACACGCATGCTATCGGTATGAAATTCGGGATAGACAAATGTGCAATGGTTCATCTCAAAAGAGGACGATGCGGGGACTACGGAGAGGATGTGCAGCTCGTAGATGGAAGCATCCTACACCATCTGGATGCCGGAGAGACGTATACTTACCTCGGGGTGGAACAACGCCACTCACAAGAGGTAACTGCAGTGAAAAACTCTCTCCGCGGCAAGTATCAGCACAAACTTCGACAGATCTGGTCATCGGAACTG